AATAAGTAAATTATTAAAGTACTTACATACATTTTCCTTCCCTCTTAACTGAATTTAATAACATTTCCGTACTCTTAATCGTTGATTATCATTTATCAGTGCCCAACACAGATAAAATATAATTATGTTCGTGTGCGCAAATTAATTGTACCTTTAATATAACCATATACCTTATTCTAATAGACGGAACATACAGGCGGGATGCGGGTGGGTGGTGCGGTCTTTCCTAGCTTACCAGCAGTGATGCCATTCCTTGGAACCAAAAACATTGTTATTAACACTTATCATCAGACCAAAGCCAAATACACTTATATAATTATAAACAATTAGACTATGGTCTATAATAGTAATATACCATTGTGATAGTAAGCAGTGTGTTGATAAGTCAAAGGTGCAACCGCGCAAGTAAAATTAAAAATTATTGTAAAATCCGATATATCTTGTGCGAGTGTGCGGTGTACGGTGTACTACCTTGATCAGAGCCCTCACGCTTGGACGCCGGAACTACAACCACGTACCGCCTATTAGTATAAGGTCTATGAATATAACCGTGAACGCAAACAAGTTCCTATTTTTCAGGTAAAAATTATAGATTGTGGTCAAACAAGTTGCATCCAAGTCGTAACCTACATACGAACGTCCTTAAGGACCGTAATTGTCCAGGTAGGGATTTCCATCATGGGTATTACCATATTGGCTAATCAGTACATCAAGTAACTAAAATGTTTTGCACAAGACTATCAAACGTCCACTTATTTTTATTCTTTGATGATCGCCCACCCAAATCTGACTACAATGCTGCTTCTCATCCAACCACATTATACATACAACTCAAGGAACAACAAACATCCAGTGCGTAAAGTAAGCTCAATATTATTATGTGTTGTAAAAATTAACACCGTAACCTAGGTTACAAGGTAAATGGATAACAGCTGTTATAAAACTTCAAATTTGCAAATTATTTTGTAGTTGAAAATACCTGAAAACTTTCCTTTTTATATCTAAGGTATTGAAATTGAATAAAAGTTCCTCAATAAGTATTCATATTTATAGTAAAGAAAAAGTTCAACTAATGGAATGTTACATTCAATTTTCACGAGGTTTCAAATTTCAAATTTTTACGACATTCGATATGCATTCATAAAATAATACTATTTCTCTTTAAACGGTTTTTGATATTTTGTTTTAATAAATTAAAAATTCAAATACTATAGTAACCGTAGATTTTGACTTGTAAATTCCCTTTCCAGCAACTTGAAAAAATCAAAAAAAAATCTTGATCATATGACTGTAATGTGATAGAGTTTAGGTGTTGTACATGTGATTTAATTTCTTTATATTAATACATTCATTTATTTTTTCAAATTGTTATTTTATTGTTTTGTCATTACATAATATGTGTGTTCAGTATAATATAATTAGATGCTTAATTATTGGTAGTTTTGCTAACTAATATTAATTTGTTGTAATTAATTTGAAGTTAATACTTATTTTAAATATACTATAGCTATAGTTTACCGGTCCCACCAAATGTTGTAAGGACAAAGAGTATTTTAATAAATATACTAACACAGTCAATAGATCGGGATTCTGTATGTACATGAAACCATATCGATAGACTTAAAAATGAAATGAAAATATCAATACAGCTGCTTTCAACTCACAAAGACCACACAAGTGTAATTTTTTATAATTTAAGCAGAATATTCATTAGCTGTTGAGTAACTATGTATTGCAACATTTCTATTGTGGGCAGTAACTAAAAACTTGGCCCAATTGTTATTTATTAGATAAATGTTTTTAACTCTTATCGTATGTTAGACATTTAAAAATGATTGTTTATACATTATTAAATGGAGTTCACATATGCGTGCAATTTTTAATTTGGTAACAAATACCAACGAAAATATCAAATTAACAGTTGGTCTGTTATAATTATACTTAATTACCAAAATAATTTGAGAGGTACTCAATTATCTTTAATTTTTAGCTATAATTAATTTCATGTTTTTTGTAAGGTATATCCTTATAGGTAGGTACTTTAGATCTGTATATGATATTATTATTGGAATAATTTTAAATAATTCTGGACATATTAAAGATTTTTTTAAAAAATTAAAATAATATCTTTAAAGAGACAGAAAAAATTCCGATAAATTCCAATAAAGAAAAATGCCATTAAATTAGCGTCCCGTTACGGCCACCAACATCAGTAGGTAATTCATGAATAGCGCCACAATCATTGATCTATGTCCGTAATTCATAGTAAAATACAAAAAAAAATAGCATGCTCAGAGGGTGGAGACAACACGTTGTGACACAAATGAAGATAATATAATCGGACCAATAAAATTACCATAAGAATATAAATAATCATACACAATCTTTAGATAATACAATATACATATTATAATTAATTATGCAGCTTCAACACTTAATAACTTCACGAAAATACAAATAATACTAAAACGGACATAATTGAGATTATTAATCTACCTCGCTCCATAAACCGTTAAACAACAACTGATATCGGTATCACAGGCCACTCGAACTTCGAAGTATGGAATTTAACATAGGTAGGTATATAAGTGATATACGATGGACATAATCAAATGATTCGTAACCAAGAAATTTTCATTGTCGACAGAATAACTAAAAAAAAATTGGTTGGAATAATTTATTATAATCCTTTATTTGTTTATGGTTTTGATTTTTTTAGATTTCACTTTCAGTTTTGATATCAAATTTTTCTTTCAACGGTTTCAATCGGTATTCAAAATTGGTATCCAATATCGGTTTCAAGTCCTGCATTAATATTATATTACCTATTATAGGTAATGACTGATGTGCTTGAAACGGAAAACATTATTTGCGATTTCTATTTCGGTTTCAGATATAGGTAGTTATTATTTTCCATTTTGATTTCACACAGCTTATAATAATAAATTGTATTGTTATATATTAAAGCGTTTAATTATTTCAAATAATATACCAAATATTCTAATTAGTTAGGTAACCAAAGCATTTTGATAAGTATTGTAAAGTATCTATTTATATTTCTAAATAATTATATTTCTATAATATAAGATTGTAATTTGTTATTAAAATATTCTAAAAATGTATGAATCTTGAAGTTACCAAGGTGAATCCATGATATGCTTTAGCCTGGGAAGCTCACTTATGAACTTTATTATGCCTTTATTGTTGTTACGAAACAAAATATACTAAAAAGGTCTTTCTCATGAGCAAAAAAATATCAAGTATGACTAGTAATTAGCACATATGTAACAAGGAGGACACATTGATAAAAGTATAATTTATACAAATACATTTCAACGTTATGACAAATGAAAAACACACCGATGAGGCGGCAACGAACAAACAACGGTGAGGTTATTATCAGTTATAACAGAAACCACGACCAATACCGATATAGATTACCCAGAGAGTATATATACTAGTGCATATCCACAGGAGCTCAAGTCACCAACGACCTGGATTCCACTGGATCTGGAAACTTCATGACCTAGGACGACGACATAGCCTCCATTCACATAAGCTCCGAAAGTAGCAGCCAAGAATCCTCCTTTGAAAATACCGACTCATCATCAAATGCAATTCAAAACACTCATGTAGCAAGATCCGATACGAATCACCATCAAACGCAATTCAAAACACTCCTGTTGCAAAATCTTCACCTCAGCTAAGTAATCAAGTGAACTCATCATACCCAAAATATCCCCTATCATTATCGATATTAATCCATGGCCAACAGCTTCAAAACTCATCATACCCATGTTTCCAAGCAAAGACCTTTCAGCAAAACTCGTCAAAAATGTTATACATTTACAAACTATCGACATTGATACTTTCCAGAAAGCTTAGTATAAATTCTAGGATAATAACATACCATTCCACACTTTTTATTTGGCTGAAGAACGCACTCTCAAATAAACTCCCCAGAGGTATCCCTTAATATTTCTCTAAAGACCTGGTTAAAGCAGAACTTGAACTTAAAGGATTTGAAATCCTAACCATACACCAATTTCCAAAAGACGACCGTAAACCACCTATGTTTATGGTAACACTCCCAAACAACCCATATAAGCATATCTTCGACCTACCCGCATTATTCTATATTACAATCAGAGTAGAACCATACCGCTCTTCCTTGGCTACTCCTCAAACCACTGCAATTGCACTCCAAAATGCGTTGTAAAATGCGGTGACTATCACGAAACTAAAAACTGCATAAAAACCGCCAATCAACAACCTAAATTCTGCAATTGCGTTGGCCTCCACACGGAAAACTACCTCATATGCCCAGCATACATATCCGCTCTTGTTGAAAAACAATCAAATATATGAAATCAAAACACATGGCTACAGCACCTAAAGTTACAGAATCAAACACATCACCAAAAAACATTCAATCAATCTCTTCATATGCATCAATCACCTCAAATAAAACAAATAAACAATTGGAACCAACAGTAACCATCCTGAAGCAGTTTTTCACAAACCTCCTCACTAAGGTAATTGTGAAAATTTCTGAAACACATTACATTAAACAAACCCTAATGACGGCCATCTCAGCCATAATCTCTATTATCAACCACCATTAATAGCTCCCTCCGGATCTTAAATTGGAACTGTCAAGGCATAACAAACAAAAGCCTTGAACTTACCCAGCTGATAAACCAACTAAAAACAGATATTCTTCTTTTAAACGAAACTCATCTTCACCAAAAGAAGACATCTAACATCTCAAACTTCACAAACAACCGTATCAAGATATTACAATCAAACTGTGGAGGCACAGCAATCTTCATTCACCACTCTATCACTCATTCTTCAACATATATCATTACTACCTCAATTGAAAATACCACTATTCTCATACAGTACAATGGACGCGAGATTAGACTTGGTGCTGTATATAAAAGCCCTGGCTCAACCATTCTTCACACGGACCTAGACTCCTTACACAACACAAACACATGTGTTATCGTAGAGGGAAACATAAAAGCCAAACACCCAGTGTGGCACAGCAACACGACAAACACAGCTGGATTAAGTCTATTCAACCATATCCCGTAACCCCAACTCACTTCCCTGACAGCCATAACCATAGACCAGATGTTCTAGATGAAGCTCTAATGAGAATTGCAAACATGCAATTCGATATAGAAAACCTGAATGAACTATCATCAGATCACAACTTTATACTACTAAATGTATACAACCAATCATTTCCTCAAACATTTAAAACAAAAACACTGATAAATTAGAACAATTTCTAGGTCAACCTCCATGAATCTATAACTAACCCAAATCTACCTATCTGCATAACAACAGATCTAGACCAAGCTGCAATAGACATAGCTAAACAATTCAATTCAGCACTCTAGGTCAACTCCACCACTCGCATCTGCAACCCTCACAAGGACCTTCCTCAAGCCATCAAAATTGAAATTATCAAGAAGAAAAGACTAAGGCAAATTTGGCAACATACCCGAAATCCTGATGAAAAAAGCCGTCTGAATATACATACTAATGTGGTTCGTGAAATTCTTGGAAGAATGGAATAATCTACTAGACAACCTGAAACCAAACGACCCTAAATTATACAAAATTGCCATAAATCTAACACACAAGCAACCTCAACCAATCCTACCCTCCCCCCCCCCATCAATACAGCCCAATCCTCCAAACGAAGTCAAATCCATCATAAAAACCCTTTCAAGGAGAAAAACACCAGGCCCAGATGGGATACCCAACACAGCCCTGCGACATGCATCCAACCGCACTATATTGCATCTCACTAAAATCTTTAACAGGTGCATACGTCTATCACACATTCCTAGTATATGGAAACATGCAAAAGTGGTCATGATTCCGTAGCCGGGGAAAACCAAAACAGATCCAGCATCGGCCCATCTCGTTACTCAACACAACGACGATACTGTTCTTGATTCTAATACTAAAACGTCTCAAATCATACGTTGTCCCCTTCATTCGACCAGACTAATACGATTTTCGCCTAGAACATTCCACAACGATTCAATTAATCAAACTTGTCGACGATCTGGTATTCATCTTTAACAGGAAGGAAAGAACAGCGGCGATCTTTCTAGACTTTGAGAAGGCGTTCGACAAAGTCTGGCATCAAGGCATTCTGTACAAACTACTAACCCTAAACGTACCAGTCCAACTCATAAAAATGATCAAAGTGTTCCTATCAGATCGAATCTTTGCAGTCAAATTAACATAATTTACATCGTCCCCCCGGAATATTAAAGCTGGTCGTGTCACACAAGGTTCCTGCATATCTCCACTGATATTTAGTATTTACATCAACGACATACTAACGAATTCCGGGATCAAAATCAACCTCTTCGCAGATGACACAATGTTTTTCTACTCCAGCATGAGTAAAAATCAAGCAATGGAAAAAAATCCAATCTCAATTAAACAGATCGATATCTTGGTTGGAGAGAAGGAGGTATCGATCAACCCTAAGAAAACGGTCACAATACTGTGTAAAACCTTAGACTCTTGACTGACGTTCCACAAACACGTCTTGGCCATACAAAAAAAGACCAGGCAAATCAGGGCTGCACTTTACCAATTATTGAACTCTCGAAGTCACTTGTCACTCCATCAGAGATTAACTCTACACAAACTATACATCATACCAAACCTAACATACGCAGGACCAGCTTGTGGCGCTCTTACCTCAAAACGAGACTGGAGAGGTCTCGATGAGGTCCAAAACATATCATTAAGAACCATAACACTATAACAGCGTCACCTTAGTATGTAAGAAACTCTACAATTAGGAATTCATCCGAAACCAGATCGTCAGGGCATCAAAGAACATATTCGACAAGCGAAGATCTAAAATCAAAAGCACATCAGATCCATCGGTCGTTCCAAGGCCACCATAGAGTGGAAAAGGAAGAGACCTGAAAATCTAATGTAATTACTTTCCACCTCACCTTCTACTCCAAGGAATGGGTACACCCCGGAGCTTGTGCTAAATGGGAAATGTTCCCCTCATCCAAAGCAAGGCAAGGAGAGTCAGTCCTTCCAAAACATTTAACGTGTCAATACTCACAGCCATCGAGCCCAGTAACAGACACAGAAGACTCCGGACCACCAACGACGACCATATATATTGTATGCATTGTATCAAACGACGATTAATTCTCTGCGGGAGTTCGATACGCATCAACCAGCGATCAGTCTACGACCTAGTCGACACTCGGCCACCAAGAGTTGTATCAACCGATGATCGGTCTACGAGTTTGTCGCTCCACGACTAAATACTTATAACGACTGCCCCATCTCACGCCACACAACACCGCATCGACCGACGACAGCTACCGGCTCCCTCAGCTATGTGACCATTGCGACTGGGACATATCGACGATCAATAAGCCTCAAACAAGACCAGCAACTCATGTTACAAATCACCCACAGACCAAGACCGGATCCACAGCCAAGGATTGCCCATCAGCACGGGACATTGGACTGACGATCAACGACGTAACGAAAATCGCCCTTCTCAGAGCTACCACGTAAGGCACGACCCCCCAGCGCGCCTGCCTAGGCCACGATCTACCGGTCGAGTCCCACGAGCGAACGCCACTTGCTTAAGCGGGCCAGACGTGTAAGACTCGATCTCGCAATGAATCATTATATAGGCTTATATGTATACCATATTCCTGTTATTGTATGGGGCCTGAACCCTACTCTCCAAATCGTTGTATATACTTAGGTACATTCATTTACATAGAAATAAAGATATTAATTTTTAATCCCATCATAAATTGGAATTGAAACTTAATTTACGATCGGCACGCGTATCACGTGTGCCGTATTAGTGTGGATTATGTTTAACTTACTTTAACATTCTTTAAATCTTATATACCAACAATAATTAGCTTCTTGGCCTCCGCACTGCAACCCACTGCTCTGGTATCCTACCTTAGAATATCATGTATGACTATTAACTATGAGACAACATTGATCAATCGTATAAGAACATTTTAAATTATCACAAATTTTTTCTGTTGTTCATTATATTTCTATTATTTAGGACGTGTTTGAAACATTTGTGTGTGAATCACATTATATTACAAGTCAAAAACTAATATAGTTATATTATATTATTACGCATTACTGCCCATACATTACGTATACGAAAACAATGAAACCTAAAACGCAAAGGTCACAATTAATATGGTTATTATATAAAAGAATTTTTATATGAAACCATTCGAATGAAAATTATTTTCACGTGTTTTTGGTACAAAAACATTTTATTAAGTACACTACTAAATCAATATTTTACATGTTAAATTCATCAAATATCCATGAAAAATAAAATAAAGGCATTAAAAAAAAAATATTGAGTACCTTAACCTATGGATAATTACTTTTAAATTTAAATTTGTCAGTGGTTTCTTATTATTGTTCCTTTTGGTTAGCGGCAAGAAGTACCTACTCTAAACATAAGATATACAATATAAATATCCATAATATTATGATATTAATTATATGGATATATATTATATTCCAATAAAAATTCTGATATTACTCAGAATAAAAATATTTGTATGTCGCAATACGACACTATCAGTTATATATAATTGTATTATAATTTATAGTACACTTATATTAAATATTTAAATGTACCTACACTTTGTTATTAATTAATATTAATAATTATGATCAGGGTTGGGATTTTATAGCACTTAAAATTGCATAAATATGCGCTATAATATGACCTTAACTTTCGCTAAATATGCGTTAAAAATATGCAATAAAAACAACAAAATATGAAAAAAAGAAATTTATTAAGTAATTACTTACAAATTTTAAATTATTATAGGTATTTACTTAAGTTAATTATCGCTAAATATGAAAACAAAAAAATATGAAAAAAAAAGCAAATTTATTAATTAATCAATAGGTAATCACTTACAAATTAGAAATTATTAGGTATACGTATAATTTAGTCACTCTGGTCAGAATCCTGAAGGTCTGTAAAGAAATTACCCAATTAATTATTTTCAAAAATTTTATATAAAAAGTAAGCGATTTAAAATGTTTACCTTGAGTGTTACATTGAATTATTAAATGCTTGGCCAGATTATCGAATTTGAATTTACGGCGGTTGTCTGCCAACAAAGTTTTGTTCGTCGAAAATGAACGTTCGACGTCCACTGATACAATTGGTGTATATTTGAAATATACAATATCGCTACATGTAAGTTCACCAAGTAATTCACCAATATTTGTATTTTCTTCGCCATCCAAGATATTTGAAATATGTTTTAATTTAGACAAACCACTATTTTTTTCTAAAACGTTTTTTAATTTGAAATATATATGTTTACTATGTTCACCATTTAGTGTTTTCAGTGTTTCTTCGATATTTTAAATAATATTTAATGATGTAGCTAAGGACATATTTTTCGCTTGCAATTTATCAATGGCTACAGATAAAATAGAAAAATTTGATTTAATGTATGCCAAGTTATTTTCAAGATTAGGGTTGTCTAAACATTTTTTTGCTTTTTGAATACTAATCGCATCTTCTTGGTCGAGTAATCCAATAATATGACGAACAGCTTGTATATTTTCGCAATAATAGGTAGCTGCATTAAGCCAGGTTCCCCAACGTGTAATAACTGGTTCTATAATATATTCTATCTAATAACTGGTAATTTATGATTATAGGTACAAATAATAGAGGGGAGAAAGCAAACACTATTTGCACTTATGATTATAATATAATTTTAATTCAAGTCTGAACACAGGAGTGATATATCGTTTGTAGTACATAGTTTTTTTTTTTGTTCAACCATAGATAAATTATTACTTTGGAGTACTCTTCTTTACACTGAAAAGTTAAAAGTTATAAATGATGGAGGACCAGCGGAGGAGCAATGCCAATAGCAGTCCCTCCTCGGCTCTCTATACCACTTAAAAAATAAAAAGAAGTAAGTATTCTCGATATTTTGAATCAAAAATTTCGTAACAAGTTTGGTTAACATCCAGATATATTTAAGTATTTACTTGACATGTCGAATGTTTAATGCTGAAAAACAATAGACATCACCCAATAGGTCAGATATAATATAAGAATTTTATAGATATCTGTAACCTATAATAATAATAATAATAATGTATTCAAATGAATAAAATGGGTGTGATTCCAATAGTACAGTATAGATTTAAATACAATAAATAATAGGTAAGCACAGTAAATATATTCTAT